TCTTCTTTCTCTCTGTCTTCGATTTCCTTCTACGTTTTTCTTCTCATTCTTCATTTCTTTCTTTCTCTTTCACCCACACGCATTCCGCTTCATTTTTCCTTTTTTTTCTTTCCCCATTCTACTACCGTTTCCTTTCTTTTATCTTTCTTCTTCTTTATCCTATTTTCTCATATATATATATATATATATATATATATATATATTTTACTGTATATGTAAACAAATATATGGATATAGATCCGACAGTATGAAGAAAAATATATACGGAAAAAACAAACAAAAATCCTTATATACAATTATGCTGTTTTAATGTTAATATGCCTTTGTCATGTTGTATTGATAATCTTATAATTTATGAACATGTCCTGAAGATGGTTTATTAGACCGAAACGTCCGACGTTGACATATTAACATTAAAACAACATAATTGTATATAAGGATTTTTGTTTGTTTTTCCGTATATATTTTTTTTCATATATATATATATATATATATATATCCAAACAAATATATTAGCTCTATATCTGATATTGAGCGCTTTCTATAAGTACCGCGCATATAATATAAATAATAATATATATAATATTTATATATATATATATATATATATATATATATATATATATATATATATATATACTTTTCACACACACACACATACATACACACCTATATATATTTATATATATATATTTGTACTCATTCAACCAACAATCACTATTCTACTCACCTGCCGATCAATTCGGCGATCAATCCAAAATCAATTTACTCTGCAAGAGAGTAACCTTTATATTTATTATTCTCTCACGAGCTTTGGAAGCATTACGCAAATTGATGGCCATAAATTCGTCAACTTATATTCTGGAGCAGATCTTTATTCTTTCTTGATGTCCCAATCTTATATTTATATCCACCGTCTTTTATTGCTTCAATGCGGAAGAAAACATTTGCCACTTAAAAGGTGAGAGGTCGCGAAGGATTTAAATATCTTGTTCTTCCTGTATATATATATATATATATATATATATATATATATATATATATATATATGAATTGAACCAGTCCTGGAAAACCTTCATTTTATGGTGAAACTTGAGTTGACTCAGTTTTATATATATATATATATATATATATATATATATATATATATATATATATATATATATATATATATATATATATATATATGTATGTATTTATATTAGAGTGTACAGCTTACATGTTATATCATATAGAAACAAGTTATACAAAGAATTGATTAATGTGATTTATAACGAAATCACTTTGCTCACAAGACTTAATGAAACATTAACTTACTCTCAATTCCTTGAATAATAAGATCCTTGTATTCGAGTTGTTGTCAGATGGAAGACACATGCCAAGTATTTCGACAATTTCAACCTGTCATCTTAAGAGCGTAATTTTCCAATCGGAAAACATATATAAATTATTTCTTTAATATATATATATATATATATATATATATATATAACAGTATTGGGAAATGGTATGACAATATTCTTTATTCCATATGCCATGCCTCAAGGATAAAGACGTTGGTTAGATCCAGTGAATAAACCCAAAGGGTTGTGAGTTCAATATCAGGCTACCGCAGTGGTTAACCAAAACGTGAAGAGTTGAGTTAAAGGAAAATTACTGAGACATCCAGAAGAGGCTTGGCACGTGGAACTAGAAAAATCTACCCCGATGGACGAAATAAATGGCTCGGTTCAAAATTCCAATCACATGAAAGAGGCCGGAGTGAACAATGGCCGAAATGTTGTGAATAAGGCTATGAAGATGAGAACAGCCCAAATAATGTAAATGATATATGTAATTTTTTATACTAGAATTTTTTGCAACACGCCGACACGTGTTGAAATCGTCAAAATATTTAGTATTGTTTAAGTTTTCGTTAGCATTTTTATCGATATTTACAAACTCTACATTTCATTCAAATTCGCAAACCAATCGTTGAAATTTGAATAAGCTGATTTGTTTGGGAAATTATTTTGACAAAAACCCTACTTTGCGCTTTCATAATTTCTTTAATTTAATTTAATTTCATCATCCATATTTTTTAAAAAGAATCAATTCTTAGAGTTTCTTACTCTTGAGCATGCAACGTACAACTGGCCATGTTTAAATATTTCTTTCTGGAGACAAATTCCAACTTTTGAAGTGTTTCACCTTGTGATTTGTTTATAATTCTCGCAAACGCAGGGTGAACTGAAAACTGGATTCTTGTATATCAAATCTTAAAGAAATGAAAAAGTTACGTTTTTAATAAATAAGTATTTGTTATTTTAATCATCACAATGTTTTTGAAAAATGTGGGAGTATCTCATGTTAAATAGTAATTTAATTTTTGCGAAAAGTTAAGGAATATGTCTTGTTCTAATCTACACACTAATAAAACCAACTGTATTTTGTAGCCCCTTACCTGTTTGCACTTCTCCCTGATATTTGGTTTCGATCGGTCAATATATGGCTATTTTAGAGGATGTGATGGATTGACAGACTAACGGAAGTCACATAATTTTATATATAGATAAAGCTATCTATATATATTTTTTTATTGCATTTTTAATTATTTTCTATGGGGAAATGTGTCAGATGACGAGACTACTAAATAATTAGACGAGAGGCGCAGTGGAGTAGTGGATAGCGGAATCGGAAAGCCGAGTTCGAATTCCACTCGAAACCATTCATTCACTTACGTGCTAATAGCCTTAGGAATCCTCTTCTTCTCCCCCCACCCATCTATGGGTAGGACAGACCGGGTTCTATAACCTTGGATGACAACTGGTCTATCGCAGAAAGAAATGGCGGGAAAAACCTGCCTCGTCAGTCATGTATTGAAAAATACACAATCACCTAAGTGTGTATCACATATGGCACATAACAGAGTGACTAAATAATAATAATAATAATTATTATTATTATTATTATTTTTATTTTCTTTTGATTTCTGGCGTTTACATTTTTTCGGGGTCCCGCCCAGGGACCTAAGATTAGAAATGGCGTCATGACACTTTCCACTGACAAACAAAAAAAAAAAAAAATTAAATTACATAGATAAAGCCCTTCGTAAGGTGTGGGCTGTACTTGTCAGAACAATTTTTTGTATCTCCTTGAGGCATGGACCTCCAGGAATCCCTTCAATCAGTCTACTGCAATCTTTTCCAACCAGTCCTAGGGCTCCAACTACAACAGGGATTATTGATGTTCCCATATGCCACATTTTCGAGATTTCTGTTTCAAGGTCCTTGTATTTTGACAACTTTTTTGAATATCTTCAAAGATACATTGCAGTCAAAGGGACTGCCATATCAATAAGGAGGCACCGTTTTTGTTTGTGGTCTTTAATAACAATATCTGGGCGGTTGGCCTTGATTGTTCTGTCAATGTGTATTGTGTAGTCCCATAGAATTGTAACAGGTCCTATCTCCGTAACCGGGTCTGAGTGGTGTTCATACCATTTTCTATCAGTTTCCTTCCCGTAGAAGTTGCAGTTTTTCTAGTGCAGATATTGGCCCACTCTGTCATGTCGGGTTTTATTTTCAGTGGGTGCCAACACCATGCAACCTGATACAAGATGATCAATCGTTTCTGGATATTTATCACAGAATCTGCATATTTTAGTATATGTGCTTGATAATTCCCAGTTAGCAAGCATTGGTATTGCGCAGCAAGAATAAAACCTTCAGTTTCCGCTTTCAACCCTGCACTACGTAGCCACTGATGGGTACGGGTTTTGTCTACGTCATCTTGTTTGGTACGGGCAGAGTATTGGCCATGAAGCGGTTTATCTTGCCATCGCTTCTGTAGCTGGTCGGTTGCATTCGTCTTTGGTGTCTTTTTTAGGTATTTTGCAGTTTCAGCCGGTGTATTGTGCTGTAGTTGCATCTCTACGCCCATTTGAAACTCCATTTTTAATTTGTTGGCTTTTTTCATTACGGTGTAAAGACGCTTACTACTTTCATGTTCCTTGACGCATACCATCATCCAGTCTTCTGTAGTTTCCAATTATTATTATTATTATTATTATTATTATTATTGTGCTTTAGAGGTGCATTCATAATGAGAGAGACAGGAATTTTCAGTTGTCAGAAATTCAGACATACCAAACAAAGAGTATACGACTCTTATTTGTTAAGTTAATTTAGTTGATTTTACTACATGTTCGCCTTTTTTAATTAAAAGTCACCTCACTGATGAACACGAGACTTCAAGAGAAAGGATGCTGAAATATGTGAGGAACAAAGCAGTTTTAGCGAAAATTGAAACACAAAGGACATTTATCGTTAAAATCATAAAGAGACCGTTTAAATGCCTAGGACAACTAACGAGGAAAGAAGGCTTGAAAAATTTGATATTCACCGGACAGATTGAAGGCGAGAAGGACAGAAGAAAGTACAATCTATTCAGCGAGGTTTTACAAATGGGTGTCAAATTGGTGTTTACATGAGATAGGAAAAAGACAAAATTAAGACCTGCAAGGGTCACCAATGTCCTAAAGAGCAAAAAAAAAGTCATATAGATGGTTGCATATAGAAGAAGAACGAGGAGGAGAAAGAGGAAGAATAAGGAGGAGGAGGGAGAGGAAGAAGAAGAAGAAGAAGGATGAAGAAGAAGAAGGAGCAGGTGGAGGAAGGAGGAGGAAAAAGGAGGAGGAAAAGGAGGAAGACGAAAAAAGAAGGATGAGGAGGCAGAAGAGGGATGAAGAAGGAGGGGAGGAGGAGGAGAAGAAGGTGGAGGAAAAAGGAGGAGAAAAGGAGGGGGAGGAGTAAAAAGAAGAAGAAGAAGGAGGGGAGGAGGAGGAAAAAGAAGAAGGAGGAGGAGGAAAAAAAAGAAGAAGACGGAGGTGGAGGAAAAAGAAGAAGGAGGAGGGGGAGGAAAAAGAAGAAGAAGAAGAAGAAGAAATAAACAAAAACAGAAATAATCACAATACAAGGATAGGATATCATGGAGCGAGCGTATGAGCAACGATGTGGTCT